TGGCCAAGCATGGTGACCCATACTTGGAATTAGTGCTCTGCATTTAACCCATCCAAAGTGCACACACACACCGTGAACACACACCAGGAGCAGTGGGCAGCCATTTTTGTTGCGGCGCCCGGGGAGCAGTTGGGGGTTCGGTGCCTTGCTCAAGGGCACCTCAGTCGTGGTATTGAAGGTGGGAGAGAGCGCTGTACATTCACTCCCCCCACCTACAATCCCTGCAACCTTTGGGTTACGAGTCCGACTCTCTAACCATTAGGCCACGACTTCCCAGTGGGAATATACTATATATATACTATTATATACTTAATTGACATGTGGTCACCCTCCAAAATTAGGATGTTCTTGCTCATCTGAATAACAAATATAAAAATATAAAAAAATCCAAAATTTGAAACAATCCCAGTGAAAAGAGGACTAAAATGCTGCTCATATATGTGAGAACTATCACATAGTTCTAATTAAACTATAGTATCTAGTAATGCTTCTGTCGGTAACAGGGTTGACAAAAATACGAAAACATGAGGAAGAAAAATAGTCATAAAATAATAAATGACATAGCCTGAGATGGCACAATACAATTTCTTGTCATTTTAAGGTGTCTTCATTTCATGGATATTTAAAAAATGTTTTTTATTTCCAAGTGGAAAAGGCACAGATTTCATGGAATGACCCATTTACTGTCACTTTTGATCACTGTAATGCATCCTTGCTGAATGCAAGTATTGGTTTCAAAAATAAATAAATAAACAAACAAATAAATAAATATTGATGACCCCAAACTTTTTAATAGTACTGTAACTGTATCATGGTTTTCACAAAAATATGAAGCAGTTTTCAACATTAATAATAAGAAGAAATGTTTCTTGAGCAGCAAATCAGCATATTATGAGAAACATTTTTGAAGGAAATATTTTTTTTTTACTTATTTTAAATTGGAATTATTTTAAAATTAGTTATTTTAAATTGTAGTAATATTTCACAATATTACTATTTTTGCTGTATTTTTTGATCAAATAAATGCAGCCTTGGTGAGCATAAAAGATATTTAACAGGTTCTGCTAAAAATATTTTAGTTTTTATCTGCACCAATTAATCGGCAAAAGCATCTCATTTCTACATGTTTTTAACTCTAAATATTTTGGAGAGATGATGCAATACATTCCCTACTGTGAATTGTTCTCCTGTGGTCAGCAGGACTATTATTTCCAAAATGAACAGAGGACAAATGTCAGTTTATCCGAATAAATGTTCTGTCTGGATTTACTTTATCGCTATCCGAGATGTTGTGGCATCTCATAGTAAGCGGGAGCTTACGATGTGACCCCGTCTCCTTACAGACACCTGCTTGCTGGCAGTGTGCCTGCTCTCAAATTGGCAGCTAATTTTGGTTTGTCCCATCATTCCTTAGGGACTAAAGTAACCTGACAGGCTGTTTGTCTACAGGCACACAAAGCGTCTGTTAAGTCGGTCCTCTCGTTGGCTGGCATGACCGGCGCTCTGCAATTTTCTCCCTCTCTCTAGTTTTGAGAATTGCCATCAGGCCTTGAAGTCTTTGCAATTAGTAATTATCAGAAAGCAGTGATTGCATCCTTCCCTTGCACCCTTCTTCACCCGCTCTGTCTGCCAGCCTAGTATCATCACCCTAGTCACTCTGAGCTGAGTTTGACTCATTTTTCTTGCTGTTTGACAGTGACGATGATGAGAAGCCACTGAAGAGCAGCCATCAATTGTTCACAGACATCAAAGCGAATGATAGCAGCGAGGACAGCTCTGTGATGTCGGACGATGACGACTGCGAGTTCAACGAAGACGGGTCGTTCATCGGCGAGTACTCGGGGTACAAGCGTAGGGTGTCCACAGAGGTGAACGGACACGCCCCGGTGACTTCTTAATGCTGGTTCAACCTTAGGAACTTTTAAACTATTTTACAGGGAGAACGAGAAGTTTGTTTGTAAGATGTGCCATGAATGTGCCTATGTTTTGCTTTTGTGTGAGTGGCCACTTCTTTACAGTATTAATATGAAGGGTGATGACAGGTTATAGTCCCGGCCAACATGGAAATTATGCCATCATTTACTCAGCGTTTCAATCTGGTACGACTGACTTTTTAAGACATTTAGTAGAATGTTCATGGTGCTCTTTTCTTACAATAAAAATAAATGGTTACCAAGGACTGCAAAGCTCCAAAAAAGGACAAAAATATGTCTATACCCTTGTGAAAAAGTACACGTTATCATATTTTAAAAAAGTACTTACTATGGAAATAATATACTTTAAAAGAATACTTAAGTGCAAACTGACTGTAATGGTTTGTAATGGACACTTAATTATGTTCTTTGCAATTAAATAAAATGTGTTTTAGTTTAAATTTATATTAAATCAATTTAAATTTAAGAGTGTTTCTTGACCCACTCAAGTAGTACATCTTTATATGTAATTTCAGAATTCTGTTTTCTTTGAAATATGGTTAAAGTGTACAGTTGAAAATATTGACAAGCATTTATGGCAAACTAAAATATACTTTAATGTAATTTCTTTTGAAACTTGTTTGTCATGTATATCAATATATTTGTAATTACACATTTGTAATGATAAAGTTGCAATTAAATACATTTAAAACATTAAATGTAATTTTAAAGAAAATAAAATAATTTAACATGCACTTTTAAGATATGAAATACACTACAAGTGCACATTTATTACAATTAAGCACATTTCTTTTTCACAAGGGTATTCAAAGTCTTCCATACAATATGAAATTTAAGTCATTGCTCACTGATTATCTGCTGCAACTCTCAAATCTCATTCACAGTTGCGCATATTCAAATATGTCACGACAAAACGTATCAGGTTTTATATCAATGATGGAAGAAAAAATAAGTCGTACAGCTTTACTTGACAGTGAGTAAATGAAGACAGAATATACATTGTTGGATAAGCAAATAATTTAACATCATTTTTGGTTTTATGAAACATTATTTGTCCAACAACAAAACAATCAGGATTGCACGGTTGCGGTTAGATTAGGTAACGTTTTCACTATTCCTGCTGAAGAAGAAATAAATAATTCATGGCCTGTCACAAAACTGATATCTTGACAGCACAATTTTCGGTTACATGTTCGCTTGTGTGGGCAATCACGTAACCTCTCTGCACGCCTCTCAGCAAGATACTGACACAATGAAACAAAACAATTATGTTCTGACTCTTCAGTATATCTACAAAAACATATTTCTGTTTAAGCACATATTTGATTAAAACTGACATTGGTGCTGCCATGGGAAAGAAATCGGCGAGAAAGGTCAACACTGAATGGTTAGATCCCATAATTTTCTACTTTCACTAATATGCAAGAATATGTTCTAGTGCATGCGAGCAATACCGCCATAAGGGGGATTATGTTATCAATAATGTACTAAGATTGCCTTAGCTTCTTTAAACTTTGTGACTCGAGTATGATCAAGTCCTTCAATATACTTTTGGTGTCTTCAGCAAATCTTTTACATTTTGTAATTCTGTTTTGCCTCCAAAATCCATGTTCTTAATAATATATTATGTCCGGACCGCAATCCAATGTAATGTCAATCCAACTTGAAATCTCGCTAACATATTTATTATTACTGAGAGAGAGAGAGAGAGAGAGAGAGAGAGCCCTTCTGCTGATATATGATATGCAATGTTTTTTGTAAGTTCTTTTTTCTATTTTTAGAAATATTTAGTTGAGAGATTCCACTGTAGAGACTGTTTTATTTTTAAAATGCTCTTCTGTCCTTGCACTGTATATATACAGTATATATCTGTAGATAATATTTTTGTAAGTTTTTCTTTTTGCATTTTTCTTTTGCATTTCATTCTGCCTGAAATATTGCTGATACTAAAGACTCAGGAGGTTTTGTTATAGAATATTCTGTGCAAAATGTTCATCCTTGTATCTTCAGACCTGAAAAATGTTTACTCCCACATTTGCTATGTTTTGCTATATTTGTCATGCACAACACAATGAAATGTTGACTATCACAACACATTTTGGTACAATGAACCTAAATGATTTCAGTGTTCACAACAGAAACACACAGGGCAATAAAAATTACTTTCAAATAAGTTATAGAAACATTTTTCAGTTTATAGAAATATTTTGGCTCTATATAATAGAGATTTTTTTTCATTATTAGCATTTAGCAGTTTGTGATTCCAGCACAACTAGGAAGTATGCATCAGAAATCCAGGTAAACTGTTTCCTGTAAAGGAGTTGTGGATAAAGATTTTTCCTTAGTAATATGCTGACACACGTTCTTATGGAGAGTGCCATATGACCTTTGACCTTGCGTGTCTCCACAATACAGCGGCACACCAATTAAAAGACACACAGTGGTTTTGAGGGCACAACCTCTACAATTAGAGCCAGTGTTAAAGCACATCCTGATGGGCCTGAACACATCCCATTTGACTGGGAAGAACTAAAACATGCATAAGAGGGTCAGCAGATCAGGATCATTACATAAAAAACACACTGGCCAAGACTCAATGAAGTAGACAGTAAAATGGCTTGATGATTGTTTGGCCATTCAATATTATTTTGCATATATTGGTATACTTTTGTAATAGTGTATAGATCAGAAATCTTCAAAAGTGGGTGAAATTTTTTTTTTATATAAAACAAAACAAATAATTTCAACCAAAGCTATACTATATATCTAAAGTTTCAAAATGTTTCATTGTCTATCTCACATAAAAATATATCAAGTAAAATTTAAATATGACGCACAGTATGTACAGTAACAATGTACATTAAAGTGCATCATAAAATACAATAAACTTTAAATTCAGCACTCAATTTATACAATGTTTCTCCATCTCGCTATAAACCAAGGAGTCCTTGTACTGAAAAATCTTGGAGACCTCGGTAGAGAGTATATATATATATATATATATATATATATATATATAGTCACATTTAATTACATTTCTGAGTCCAGGATGAAAGTCCAGGATGAAAGAAATTCTGCTGTGCTTCAGTGCACAAATACTTGATTTACTATATCAAGCTGTCATGGTAACCTCTGCCTACTACAGTGTCTTAGACTTTTACTTTATGGCAATTTAATGATGTTTATGACAACTGAAATAAGGCAAAATACCTGCTATGGACCTTACTTAATTTTTTTAAATCACAGAAATGCTTTTCCCTTCATCACAAATCCCAATTTCAAAGAAATGTCCAGGGCAATTTTGCAATGTTCTTGTTACCCTTAGAGGTGACTCATTTCTCTTACAAACTGAATATGCTATTGGAGAAGGAAGCTGTCAACAGTAAATCCACCCTACAGTTTCTACGGTCAGACTGGAATAAGTGTCAAAGCTAAATTCAAAAAGAGAAATATATTTAAAAAATAACCATTGCATGCTGAAAAAAAAAAACGAAATAAGAAACAGAAATGTCAAATATGTTTAAGATCTTAAAATTTGTCTTAAAATACACTATTGGCTTTAAAAAAAAAATCAGTAACACTTTAAGGACCAATTCTCACTATTAAGTAGTTACTTATTAGCATGCATATTACTAGCATATTGGCTGTTAATTATAAAGCACATATTAATGCCTTATTCTGCATGACCATATTCTAGATCCCTTAATCATACCTAAACTCAACAACTACCTTACTAACTATTAACAAGCATCAAATTAAGAATGTATTGAGGCAAAAGTCAGTTAATAGTGAAGAATTGGTCCCCAAACTAAAGTTTGCCCCAAAAATCAAAAAAGTTATTAGATTTATGCTTAACAACAAACTGTTTGCTAATAGGGTAACAAAGTGTGTATATTCTATGAAAATAATTATTATACAGGATACGTATATTTCTACTTGTAATTAAGTGTGTTATTTGTAATTATTTGTGAAATACTAGCAATTTCTGAGTGAAAATGACCTCAGTTGTATTCAGCTATTCAAGCCATGTGAGTATCTGATCTCATGCAGACTTTGCAGGTGAATTGCCCTTCTTCCATTCAAAGCTCTTCAAGATTAAATAGGCATCCGGCTATAATCAGATGACTCCATGGCTAAAGCACTTGAAAAGCACCCAATGCTTACTGCTGAAATAAAGGTCATTCACAGCGATAATCCTTGCTTCGTGCTGGATTATTCTTTTATCCTTTCTAAAATTGCTTTCTCTGTAGAGCAATGAAACCCACTAAACAACAACAAAAGATTGTCCCGGCCCCATCAGTAGATCTTGGCCTTGTCAAAATGAATCGTCTCATCCAAGGCTATCAGATTCAACGTGTAACACATAGGTAAAGTCCATAGTGAACCACAGTGAGCACGTGAGGTCAGTTCACCTGAATTATACATGACATAAAACTCAACTTTGTTGACCCTTGTCAATAATATTTCCATCCATTTCCAGTTCTTTTGGTGATATGCTTTGCTCAGTTGTTAGGGATGTAATTGACTACCGCAGACATGTTTTTAGGATTGAGACAGACTAAATTTAGATTTTTGTTTTTCTGAAGAAAGTGTGTGCTTGGGGATTGGGATTATTTTGTTTGTTTCCTCTGCAAGGTAAAATTCAAAAGTTTAATATCTTAGAGAAGTAATAGCACACCTCTCTTCAACAAGTCTGCCAGATGTTTTGAATTAGAACAATCAATTAATGTCCTGTATGAGATAAATGATTCACTTTTGATTCAGTTCATTTCAATGATTGGTCAAACCAGCATGAATCAGTAAGTCACAAGTTGTCATTTTGAGTTGAGACCAACTAGATTTTGATTTTAGTTTTTTTCTGAAGAAAATGTGAGTTGTGCTTTGGGATTTGGATTATTTTATGTCTTCCTCTGCCAGGTCAAAATCTAAAGTTTAGTAATTAGACAAGTAATAGCACACCTCTCTTCAACACATCTCCCAGATCTTTTGAATCAGAGCAATCAGAATCAGAACAATGTCTGATATGGCATGAATGAATCACTTTTTATTCAGTTCATTTCAATGAATTGTTCAAAACCAGGCATGAATCATCAAGTCACAAACTATTTTGAGTTTGAATCAGTCAGTTTTAACAAATGACTCACTCAAGTGACTCAGAATAGAATAGTTCAGAATAGTTTGAAACTCTTACCATTATTATTTTAATAAACGTGTTAGGTAAGTTACTCTAAAAAGTAATAAATTACTAGCTACTAATGACATATTTAATAGAATAATAAGATTACTGTACTAATTAGTCTAAAAAGTAATGCATTATTTATTACTAATTACTTTCTAAAGCCCATAGTATTTCATATAGATTTGTTGGTAACACTTTATTTTAAGGTGTCCTTGTTACATGTTACATGCACTTACTTAATAACAATAAATTATGCATTATTAAATGCAAGTAACCCTAAGCCAAACCCTAATCCTAACCCTAACTATATAGTAAGTATATGTAGTTAATTAATATTACTCAGCACTTAAATGTACAATTACACTGTAACAAGGACACTTTTAAATAAAGTGTAACCGAATAAGTCTATGCAGTCTACAGTATGTAATTACATCATAAGTAACTAATTAAATTACAGAGAGGTTAAGAGAAGTCCCTTACTTTACCTTTTCACAGGAAAAACAAATACAGTAATTAATTATTAATTACTTAGTAATGCATTTGACCAACACTGCAATAAACAGGAAAAATTAAGCTTACAATTTTCAATATATCACACAGAAAAAGGATATCTTCAGTGTAGCAAACTTACTCTATGTACAGTCAGTAAGACAGCACATTTTTTTAAAGAAATTTGTACTTTTATTGAGGAGAGACTTCAGAAAAGAGTGATATTAACATCTAGCTGGACTGTTTGGTCAATTAGAATACGGAAATACATGGTCAAGCTTGAGTATTTGCTCTCATAGATGCCATAAAACAAGTATGGCAAGCTGTCTAAAAAGAAAGCACCAAGGTTAAGGAAACTTGTGAGCACATAGTCCATCCACTGTGAATGGATGCTGTGAAAGCCCTATAGGAGCGTCAGGTACAGGAGGTTATGTTTACCACACATAAAGCTGTAGTTAAAATGTTCTGTCCTGAACCAATGCGCAGTGGCCCTCTCTTCGGTCAACACAAACACTGCTTTCACACGTCGAACATAAACATAGACTCTAACCCTGACCCTAACACCATTAGATTTAGACGCAGCAGCTCTCAAAGCTTTAATAAAGAAAGAAATCAGCTTGTACATAAAAACACCAGGGCTTGCTGAAGACGAGGTTTGATCTACCAATTGTTCCAGACAGCAGCAATGCCGTCACAGAGTGTGCAAGAAGGTGGAGGACACACGCTATGGAGTTTTTATTAATAATGAACGCGTAGTTCACGGGGAGGTAAAATACGACAGGTGTCATATTTCACGATTCCTGAGTTGCTTTGTTAATAAACAAGACTTTTAAGAGAACTATTCTCAAACAAAACTGTCAAGTTGTCAAGTTCAGTGAGAAAACATAGTGACTATTGTATTTGTTCACACAGCTGCAGAATATGGTTGCCAGTGTTGTTTTAGAGTCCTAAATTTAGTTGGGTTCACACATAATAAACAAAGATAACAACCACATTTTAGAACCAAAAGTCTTAAATTGTTAGGGCTTACAACCACATTTTCGGTAATGTGTGACAGATGAACTTGTGCCTTAATTGGACTCATTAAATAACAGCGGGTCAGTTGTAATAAGACTAACTGGTGCTATGAAAGTTGCCATCTTTGATATTTACTTTGGTCATATGTTTACAGATGATATTCACTGCTATAATTAAACTTAAAGTAATTTAAGTACTGATACTGCAAGATGCTGCACTACCAAATATCGAAGTGGATCAGCATGATCATCTCTGAGGTTTATGTAAATTGCGCTGATAACAGTACATTTTAGAGATCGGTCTTCACAATAATAAATTCACTTTTTTTCACTAATATTTCACTAGTTTATTCACTAATACTTACCATCATTGGGGAACTACATCATTAAACCAAAACTTTTTTTTTTTTTAAATTAGCACCAAACTAATGCACCTTTAATAATTGGTTATAATAAATAGATATACAGTAAATATGAAGAGTTCATTTGCAAAAATCGATTTTATTTTTAGAAATCACGTTTTTGCGCATTCCAAGTAATAGCCTATCAATCAAACTGCAGTTGGGTTGTTTTGATTAAGTAATAATAACGTCAACAAATACAGGTAATTTACTAAATTAAAGTTCATTGAAAGTATGTTTTTTTTTTACATAGCCTATTAAAGGCTTGTTTTATAGCAAAAGCAGATAACTCCAACAGTTGTTTTTGGCAAAAGCAGATAACTCCACATTTCATGTTTTAGAGTTTAAAAAAACACTCGTTAAATCTTTGTAATCTCCTCAGATGACAATGTAGATGCCTAACAAACGTTGTTGTGATCATAAACTGTATGGATGTGATTACACGCAACACACGGAGCTTTTCTCTCATCATTGTAACGCGCTGCTTTTGCAAGGTTCCGTGAAAACGTTTCAGCTTTTATTTTCCTTTTTCGCCTTGAAGAAGATATCACAGGTTCATAAAGTTCGTCGAAATTATCCATCCTCGATCACTTTTAGTCAGCTTTGACGAAACTCCTCTCAGCTAGCGCATCTTTTCAACGTGTAAGTAGCCTTGTCACCTGACCTGAATACAGCGCGCTGATTCGCTAAAATGGACTTATCGGCTTCTGCTCAAAAACAACAAGGACGCTTGTCGGCTTCTGCAGTAAAACGTGAACTCGCGATGCCATGAAAGTGGACAAAACCGGCTTTTTTGACAAAACGTGTTTAGGGTTCAGATCGGGCTATATGTGGAGAATAATGCAGGGCAATCAGCTCATTTTTTTTTTCTTTGAAAGTGCCGTTTATCGGTTTTTGCAAATGAAGTGGTTACAAATGTCGAGATATCTCTAAATAGTGAAAAATGAGAAATCAATGATGGTGACAATTGTGACTGTATAAAATAAAATAAAATCTAGTGAGCTGCCTTGCTGTCTATATAGGCTGCTGCCTATGAAACACATAAGAATATATTTTGAAATGTCTGTTTATCCATACAATGATGGTCAATGGGGACAGTGATGTTTTGGACCCCACTGACCTTCATTTTTGGACTGAAATGGATTTTTGATCTTCATTCGTCAAAATATCTTCTCTTGTGTTCTGTCAGACACGTTTGGAACAACATGACAGTGAGGAAATTATGACAATGTTTTTGGTACAGTATCCCTTGAATGGATGTTTTCAAAGACCTTTCCTTGTAAAAAAGCAGCATACTTTGAAAATAATACTTATTAATAATACACTTTAAAATATACTTAAACTGCATCTAATGTTTTTGGTCACTTGATTGCATGATATTTGCAGTTAAATGGAAATACATACTGTTTTAATTTACATTAAATGCAATTAGATGAATTTTAGAGTGCTTTTTTGACCCACTTAAGAAGGAATTAAGAACATCCTTATATGTAATTTCTTAATTCTATTGTGTTTGGAATATGGTTAAAGTGTATTGCTGAACATACTGACAAGCATTTAAACTAAAATACATTCATGTCATTAATGTATAAATTTGTAGGCCTATGTAATGTATTTCAATATACTGTATTTGCAATTAGACAACTGCAACTATGAAGGTGCAATTTGGTACATTTAAAATATTAACATAAATGTAAAATGAAATCAAAACGCATTACAGTTCAAATATAATCAAGTACATTACATATGCTTTAATATGTATCTTAACACATCACAATACGTGTATTTCTTTAAAGCATGGCAAACTATTGTTAAAACATAATGACATATAATGTACTTTAAAGTAAAACTTTTGATTTGACTTTATTACAAAGTGCAGTCGAGTTAAGAAACAGTCATGAAAGTGAACTCTCTAAGTCTACATTCATATTATAGTATCTGCAAGCACAGTTTTTTATATATAGGCCTACTTAAAAGTGTTGAAGTACTCTGCAAGTGCACATTCAATACAATTAAGTGCACTTCTTTTTCACAAGCTGTTTCGATGCATTAGAATTGCCTCCTCTGCAAAAGATGCATGATAATGTCTCGGAATCTGGTATCTAGAAGACATCATTCATAAGCTTTAAATCAGGAGTGCCTGTAATATCTTAAAATGCTCACAAGGTTTAGGAATAGAGCCTGGGTGACATTTAAAAGTGTCCTACAGAAACATCCACGTCCTTTGAGGATCTTAGTCCCTCTGTTCTTCTGCTGGTCCTGTTCTCACATTAGACTGAAACTTAATTTGTCTCACTAGAAAGGCAATTATGCACGCCTGTTAGAAGTCATTACTTCCTGGTACAACACTTTAGATAGTGACTGTGCGATCGCACATGTCAGCAAGCCAATCAGAGTGAACGCTGTGGCATCAGCAGGAACAAGGAAACTCTCAGTCATGAAAGAAATAATGAGAGCCGAACGATGTTAATAAGCTTACATAGCACGACTGGGTAATGGAGTGAGAACCTCTGCTATCACTGTGTTTATCGCTCATTCAGTATTCATGAGGTACTTCACAGTATGGACAAGCACATGTTGTGCATCTTTCACTGCTTTTGGATACACTAAAGGCTAAAAGAAAACAGAAAACGATGTTTTGTTAAATAGGCCTCATTTTTGAGAAAAGAAAACAGCCACAACTTAATAAATAGCATGAATAATGTGAAAAAACTTTTAATCCATGGCCACGATATCCTCACCTCCAACCACACCAGTGTTAATTTAGTAGCCTTGATATACTATTATTACTATTTGATATAACTATTATAGTTTTTGTTAATATTTTCAATTCTATTTTATCTAGTTGTTGTTTTTTTTTGTATTTAGTTTTTGTATTATGCTATATTTTTGTACTTTCTTAAAGTATTTTTCATTTTAGTAAACACTTTAGTAATTTAGTTTTTAGTGTTTTTGTCATTTTTGATCGTTTTAGATTAAAAAAAAAGTATTTCTGTATAGTTTGTTTCATTTTCAGTTTTAGCTAATTTAGTATCTAAATAAATAAAAAATAAAACTAAATTAAATTGAGAAATGCTGTTTTGACAACTATCTGAAATATTAATATTAATTAATATTACATATTAATTTTTGAGGTTTTAGTATTAGTTATAGTTAACGATAATAACCTTGCTAATAACCTTGCTGTACACATGTGATCAGTCTTCTAGAAAAAGCTGGGCTAACCATACCATACTAACAGCCAAACCCTGACCGCCTGAATAAGCCGCACACCAGCA